CGGAGGGAGGGGCGGCGGATGGGAGTGGGGCGGGAGGGGGCGTGGCCGGGATGGGGGTCCAAGAGCGGAGGTGTGCATCCTCTGAACCTTTACAGAGGAGCAGGAGGGGCTCCTCTGCTGAGTCGCTCCTGGGAGGGTCGCCTTCTTCATTCATGCAGAGGCGTCCTGTGGGGTCCTGTATAGGAGCTCGTGGCCCTCTCCTTCGCTTCTATACATCATGTCAACCTGGCCAGCCTCTTCATCGCCGAGGCAAAATTGGCAACTGTGGTCACGGCCACGGCAGTTCTCCCTGTTCTATAGCTAAGCTAAACTGACTTGACATCTTTGGTCTTGTTGCCGTGACAGCCTGCCACCTTATAGTATTCAGATGTCAGATGTGAAAAAAAGGACTAACACTGTCTTTCTGTGCAAAGTTACTCCAGTGTGATCCCATTGAAAACGGTTATCGTGGAGTAACTCAGAACAGGCCTGTGCTGCAACTGATTTTTTGGGTAGATGTTTATTTCTGAAATGATTTAGTTCATTTATTCCATGCTGTGCTTAGGAAGTGTTCCAAGGTTTGCATCCCTGTTCTTGTTGTCACATGTCCTGTTTTCTCTGGTGAAGATGATTGTTTGGATTCCTTGTGTTTTGATCATATTGGCGGGAGGAATAAAGTAACCTCGTGCAATTGCCTGCCCCAAAAGCAAGACCATCCATCTTCTAAATAGTCACAGATCAGTTTGTAAGGTGGAAAGATGCTTACTGAGCAGCCAGCTACAGATGACTTAAGCAAGTGATCAGTGCACAGCAAAACCTCCAAAAAGTCTAGCCTGTTTGACATAGGGGAAGGTCCCTTCCAGACATCAGATATGCTAATTGATCTGCTCCCAAATGTGATCAAAATGTAGGTAGCAATCCTAAACAGGTCTATGCCAAAGTAAGTGGCCAGGAATGTGGCCAAATGATTGCAGCCTTAGTCTCCCCAAAGGAATATTGGGGTTGGAATAGCTGTGTCTTTCTTTTCAATTTGCTGCCCTTCTCTGGGTACGAGATTTAGATCGCTTTCAACAAATATAAATGGTAATCATAAAACATTGTGAAACACAAGTTAATTCTAAAAAGAATGTATGCTGTTGCTTATTCATATCCTTTTTACTAACTTATGTATTTTTGAATTATCATAAGATGCCTTAAGGGAAGGACTGGGTAAAAATAGAAGAATAAATTTCTCTAAGCAAGGCCTCCAATTTCCCCCCCCCCAAATAATCATGTTTCAAGGGGCCCCATTGGTTATAGTGGAGGCCCTGTTCCTCATTCCCATCTATCTAGCCTCCCATGTCAATCAGATTATGAACAGAGTCCCTCCGGTTTAATGGTAGTTTCTTAGTATGGCAAATACTGATGCCCTTGCAGGGTGGGGGTCAAAGATCATGTGTGTTGGGAGAGGGGGGAACCCTTTGAACACATGAAGCTGTATTATAGAGAATCAGACCACTGTTTTATGTCAGGGTCAATATTATCTACTCTGACTGACAGCCAGTGTTCCCTCTAAGCTGAGTTAGTGTGATCTAGCTCACAGTTTTTTAGCCTCCAGCTCACAAATTTTTGTCTCAGCTCAGGAAGGATGGCTCCAGAACAAACTAATTTATGCAGTAGCCAAATTGCTCACTCATGAATTTAATGCCAGTAGCTCACAAAGTAGAATTATTGCTCACAAGACTCCACAGCTTAGGGGGAACATTGCTGACAGCAGCTGTGTGTGCATGTAGAGGTCTCAGGCAGAGGTCCTTCACATCACCTACTACATGACTCTTTAGGACACTGCATACGCAGCAGATACTAGGCCATGGTCTTTCCCCCTTTCTGATGTCCATGACGTTATTACAAGAGGTGACATGGTTGTGGTTCTTAAGGAGGTTTTTGTCATGCTTTGGGATTTGCAGTATTGTAATGAGGTTTATTGTGACTTGTTTCTGTTTCTGTTACTTTCTGCTGTTCTCAACAGTATTTTGTTAGTTACATATATTTTTTCTTCCATAATGCCAGTTAAGAATGTTAACATGGCTGCATCTTCTTAGATTTTTCTTCACACTCTAGAACTTATTCACTTGTAGGATCAGGCTTCAGCACTGAGATATTCTGTGACACAAAGAAAGTAACATTATACAACTATTCATGTTTTTTTGTTTCTGCTTTTATTTTCAGAATCCTTTGGGCAGAACTATCCAGAGGTAAATGTCTTTTATATATCTTATATCCTGTAAACATTGTGCCTTGAGTTTATGTATGTTATCTATATTTTATTTAAATTGTTTCACAGGGATGACCTAAATGGGTCATTCAGCAATTCTTTCTATATCTTCCTTTGTTTGCAGGAAGCTGATGGCACATTGGACTGTATTAGTATGGCCCTCACCTGTACTTTTAACAGATGGGGCACTCTTCTAGCAGTGGGATGTAATGATGGCCGAATTGTCATCTGGGACTTCTTGACCAGAGGCATAGCAAAAATCATAAGTGCCCACATTCACCCAGTCTGTTCATTATGGTAAGGAATTATCTTAACACAGATTGAATGTGATTTATAGCTAGCCTGTCTGACCATGGGCAAAAATGAAACCAAGTCAGGAAATTGGTCCCTCTGTCTACCTTATTGTCTACTCTGATTGCCAAAAGCTGTCCAGGACTTAGGTCCACACTGCTTACCTGAGATCCTTTAAATGGATGTGTCTGAGACTGAAATGTTTGCTCTTCCACTGACTATGTCCATTCCCCAACTGTAGTCTGAAGCTTAGGTGGGAGACAGGATATTTTCTATGTATGCAGTACACCATTTTGACAACTCAAAACTTTTGGTTTATCATTGATGATTTATTTATTTATTGATTATTTATTTATTTATTTCCAATTTATACCCCGCCTTGCCGGTACAAACTGTTTATTTCTAACATTAGCTACAATCCAGGATACTATATAGAAGCACAAGTGAATTACGTATAGAATGCTTTCTTTGATTTTTTTTCTTTTTGCAACTGTAAATCGCCTTGCTCAGCCCACTAGAACATTTAGCTTTCCCCCTATGAACAAAAAAGTGTCATACCACAGATTAATTTCAAAAACATCTTGCTTCTGCTTCATTACAATAAAGATCTTGCTCTTCCAAATGGATGCTTTTGTTTTGCATACTGAAGGGACTTGGTTTGAGACCCAGTCTGCAGATTGCAGATGGCACAGTGGGTGTTGTTCAGGAAAAGTCTAAAGTTCCTCCTTTAGCTTACATGGTCATTTTCTTCAGCCTTTTGTTTCCAGCACCCATAATATTCAATTATACAGTTGTGTAATAGCTGCTCACCATCTAGTTTCTGAACATTTTATCTTCTCTTGGTAAATGCAGAAAACCAAACTACGATGTATCAGGTATTTCTGTGGATTCTGTTAAATTTTAAATGGGGAAGCCACAAAATATTTTCTTCTATAAGTCATGATTTCGTATCATGATCTTTCTTTCCTAGTTGGAGTCGAGATGGTCACAAATTGGTGAGTGCATCAACTGACAATATGGTATCTCAGTGGGATGTTCTGACTGGTGATTGTGACCAGAGGTTTCGGTTTCCTTCACCTATCCTGAAGGTCCAGTACCATCCCCGAGATCAGTAAGTAAGATTGACCAAAAAACCCCAAACCCTTTTATTACAGAAGTTTTGGAAATCTGGTTTCTTGAGTATCATAGTAGCATTTCATAGCTGGTTTTATTAAATGTGCGCTTTGGGGGGGGGTGATGTGTATTTTAAACTGAAAGTTACAATTTGAATTGGCTAGTTTTCCTGTGAAGTGGTGGAGGTAGAATAGTGAAGTGGAATATGATAAACCAGTAACCAGCCTGTGATTATGTGCAGAATGCTCTTCAGTGATGTAGTTCAGCCATCTGAAAATAGTTTTTTAGGGAGCTGTGGGACTCTGTGTTATCACTGATGCTGTTTAGCTTTTATATGAGGCTGCCAGGCAAGATAATCAGAACTGGGATGACAGTAATCAATATGACAATGCTGAGTTTTAAATTTCACTAATTCAGCACCCAGCAGCAGTCGGTTATAAAACAGTGTTGGAGATGTGAATGAAGTTAAGCAGGCGGAAATTGAATCAAGCAAAGATGTAGGTGTTCAAAGAAAAGCTGAATTCTCTTGCCTGTGTATGTTTGCATGGAAATCTCCCCCTCCCCCAATCTTTCATTGTCCACTGTTCAAGCACTTTCAGGTTTTTTTCTCATCCAACCCCATACTCCAGGCTATGCTTTTCAGTAAACAGACATCAGTCATATTGTTGTTAAGTGCAGGGGAGGCAAGTTAAATGAGAAAGAATAGAAATCTTTATATGTTGGCACTTGTGCAATTGTCTGTCTAATCCTGTCCCAGAGTGCAATGGTGGTATTTAAATATTCTGAATATTATTATGGAGACCAGGTAAGAAGAGAGCAGTATTCAAGACTTTCTTTTTTAAAAAAAAATCTGGTTTTTGTTTTTGTAGGAACAGGGTGTTGGTGTGTCCAATGAAGTCAGCCCCAGTCATGCTAACATTGTCTGATTCAAAACATGTCATCCTGCCAGTGGATGATGATTCTGATCTAAACGTGGTGGCTTCTTTTGACCGTCGAGGAGAATATATTTATACAGGGAATGCCAAAGGGAAGGTAAGAAGTCACTGAGTTTGTCTTTAGTGGGTGGTCCGTTCAACTGTCTTATATGTATGGCTTCTCTTTAAATACTACCTTTTAACAGGATAATTATATATAATAATGAGTATGGTCCTAGATATGGATTGTTAGATCTACAGCTCAGAACTCTGTACAGAGAAGGGAGATCATTCTACAAACTTGAGGAAAAAGCCAGGTTTTACAGAAAAATTTAAAAGCTGGGGAAAAGAGTGACAGGGATCTTAAAATCCTGTTTTTTTAAAAAAAATACCATCACAAGATCTTATTGACCATCTTTGGAGGTGGGGGTGGCATCCTGCTAGAAGGGAAAAGACAAAAACAGCCAGGGAAAGCGAGTACTGGCAACGTTTAGGCTGCCGCTACTGTCCTCCCTTCCCTCACCCTCCGCCTTCCTGCTACATCCTCACTGTCCTTCTTGCTGTGGAGAGAAAGAGGAGGGCAGCCACGAGGGTGAGCGTTGAGCACCAGTGGAGCGTGGACTGCCACCACTGTCTTTTTCTTCATCCACCCACTCCTTTTCACCACTTCCTCCTAGCTGCAAGGCCATCCAGTGCTGCAAATTTATTTACTTCATTTATACCTTACTTTGTTCCTTAATGGAGACCCAAAGTGACATCTAACATTCTCCCGTTTTCACTGTATCATCATAACAACTCTGTGTGAGAGGTTAGGCGGAGACTATGTGTCTGGCTGAAGGTCAATCAACAAGCTTCCAAAGGCAGAATGGGGATTTGAAACGGGTCTTATGCCACATTGTTTATGCTATTGTCAATTGGCAGCTGTGCTGAAACATATCTGCCATGTAAAGTATGAAGAGACCAACACAACCCTGTACATTGCAGAAGATTGCAGTAAGCATATCAAATCTATAACGTGTGTGAAGG